TATATATATATATATATATATCATCCTATATAGTATACTTTATCCAATGGATGTCTCTTGAAAGTTTGTACTGTATGGGATTTTACATATACAAACAGCTCACCATAGGTCACCCATGCATAGGTATAAAATATAAAATTAATAAGATGCATATATATGAGTATTTCGAAATATAAATTATATTTTGTATCTGTACATTTTGGGTCTGTACATTCTCACAATTTTCTAATTAAATGAAGTGAGTTCGGGAGAATCTTGCCATATTGTATACGACGTATCTGTATTTTTCTCTTCTTTCTGTCGTCTACAATAATAATTATAAACAGTAAAAATATAAAAAGGGAAATATATTCACTTATAATGACTCAGACACAGTGTCACAGTTATTTAGTTCAGGAACGTTTATATTCGTACCCGAATAGCCAAACTTGCAAAAGCAGATTTGGCGGTGTCTGCCAGACTGTGTAAGCAGTTTGCTGGCAGAAATACAACAGGACCTGATGACAGACTGATAGCAGAAATCAAGCAGGATCTGTTATTCCAATATATTTAAACGGAACATATTGCAGATCCTGCTCGTTTTCTGCCATCAATCCGCTGTCAGATTCTGTCAACAGTCTCTGTCGACAAAACAACAGTAGATTGCGAACACAGATGACTATGGATCTGTTAGTAGATTCTGCTCGACCTATCACCAATCTGTCGTCAAACTGCTTACTGACTATCTTTCAATTGGCTACTAGCATTGTTTGTCTCATTGCTAATTAATAAAGGAGCTATTCTGGATTTGCTACGTTCTAATACGCAAGATTCAAAGGGGAAGAAAGTGGGAAGTAGAAGTTCCTGTTCTCCGAAAATAGGTAGTCGTTTACGCGCATTGTCTTCGATTATAGCGTCACAATAGGCAAGTTGATACATCTTCGTGATATTGGCGAAATTTCGTACTATTTTGCTGTCGCACACTACCAAAGGGTTTAATTTGCACGAAATAATCCTCGGAATATCGAATTGTTGGATGAACAGTATATCTGGAAAATATAACACATTTTTTAAACGGATCCCACTTTTAAATATATGACGTCCGTACGTGCAATAAGCTCATCATACTCACCACATCTTGTCCTGACAAGCTCTTCGTATCTTGCGACGAACAAATAAAAGAACGCTTGACAAACGGAGTAAAACACATTATTCAGTTTCAAGTCGACATAGCTATCTGAAGTTTCGTCCGTACCGATATAATCATGTATCCAATCCGTAAGTCTATAAATTGTCGACTTCAGCGTTCTGAAAGATAATGATAAGAGTTAGATACATGAACTGTTCATAGAATTACTTAGGCTAACATACTGAAAGTTCGATAATTACTCAGAAGTAATAAATGAGGCAGAAGCGGCCAAACTAGACATATAAAAAACAGCTGATTGTCTTATAACTGGTGCCTCATTCCAGTCAGTTACTTTCTTCCACAAATAGTCTATGAATGGTTCGACTACGGATTTAAAGCTACAAAAGTAGAATCCAATATACTGCACATATTGTGTGCGATCTACACGTAGTAGTACTTTATCGAATGCTGTGAGAATATCATGGTACAATATTTTCAAGTTTTTTTTATTTAGATCGATAGGATTAATGAAGCAAAACTTGTGTATAAATTCCATAAATATGTCCATACACATATCCAGTGTACACTCAATTAATTGGACATGTTCTGCTTTATCTGCATCATTATTTGCTGTAGCTGGGTCATCATTAGTATTATCTATCATGTCGTATAACTCTTGGTAACCTTTTGTTTTCCTCATAGTTATATTAACATCTAATAAAGCCAAACTAAAACATGAAAAAATATAAGGATAAATATTTACATAAGGTTACATACAAAAATCAATTAACATATTTTGTCAAGAACATAGTCCTGAACAAAATGCAGAAACTTTTAGCCTTTGATTTCTTTTGTTAATAACTTTTTAACAAAAATAAATAACAAATGACAGCTCAAACTTTTTGCATGCCAGGATTATGTCCTAAGCATATGTCAATATCGTTGATTTTTGACGAGGTTGACTTTATGTAAATATTTATCAATATAAGCTCTATCATAAAAACCATTAAATTATTTTTGATCACATTTAGAAATTAAATTTAGGACTTACCTATTGATAACTATGGATATAATGTCTGATCTTAGATAAGGTGCATAATATGGTATATATAATAATCCGTGTAAGTAAACTTCATGTATATAAGTGCTGTGTGTAATATATGGATATTGTGATTCAATGCTGTATAACAAACATTTTCTCGACCTGTAAAAATTCATATCAAGATTTTCTATATACTTGATAACAATAAATAGATGTTCTATATATATATATATATATATATATATTCATTATATCTTACATTGGTACTACTTTCAAAATTTTGCTTAACATGTCATGAATATGATTCAGCCTTTCTGTATCTTGAAGCGTGAGTTCCTTGTCTTTGTGTTCTCGATTATCTTCAACAACTTAAGTAAAGATTGCAATAAATATATGCATATCACATAAACTTTAAATTAATATTATTAATAGATGCAAAGTTTACCTGGTTTGAACAATTTAACTAGATGATCAAATACAGTTCTTGCATATTCAACTCGTGCACAAACTAAATCTTCTATAAAAGCTTTATAGGTTGAAATCAAATCCGGTGACTTGTCTGTCCATTTGATTTCGAGAAGAGTTTGTACAAGCATTTTATGTTCACAATCTAATAAGGTTATATATTGCCTTATTTCTTCTAGAAAATTTACTAAATCACTGTCCTAGAAAACAAAGAGAATTTTCCATATAGCATCTTATAATATATAATACAATTCTTATATATATTAAATGATAAGATTATTCACATATGAATTTTCTAGATTTTTTTCTTATTTACTTACCTTAATAGCACCTTCTCGAAATGAACTTATCATGCCCTCATATTCTTTTTTTGTATCAAATTTGCAACCACATAGTATATGTCTAAAACCTTTTGGAGGCCTGTAGTATATTCTATTGGGCTGATTAGTAATTTTTGAAACATCTCTAATTATATTCGATAAGCTGGTAACTCTTGAGGATGTTACAGACATCTGTTTGATATATGTAAGAAAAAAAATTAAATTTTATTGATTCTTTAATAATAAATTTATCCCACGAGAAAGATATATACCGCTCAGAATTGATGGCAATTGACAATATTTAATCGATATAGATATATGATATATCAAGTTATGTATAAAATACCGATAATAACAAATTTACATTTCCATGTGGTTTCTAAATTAATGCGTGTGCTAATACAAAAAAATGTAATTGATACAAATAGACCACGTGGTGTAAAATATTAAATGACACGATCGAAAAGATAGAGGTTACGCATATGCTAGAATAAAAATATGCTAGGTTACTCACTTTTACAATGTTCAAGACTCGCGGAGATGCAATCCGTGAATAGCTATCACGACGAGTGCCACACGTGCGGCACACCGGTCGAGGGCGCGAGTAGCCGGTTATTTCTAGGGTCCCTCAAGTAAAGATCGTTCTACATTAGTTACAAGCCTATCGCAAGCAGACGCAACTCTTGTTGCGACAGCCGATTAGAAGCGTCAATAGCACTATTGACGCTTCTGATTGGCTGTCGTAACAAGAGTTACAATTGACTAGGAACTAATATAGAACGGCCTTAAGGTATCAGCCAAACCGTCGCCATCAGGAGGACCGGAAGTACGTTTCATTAGCGCGGGAATATTTAAATGCATTGTTATTACATTAAGGCCCCTTTTTTACTTTCCATCCTCTGACTATTTTTTTCGCGGAGGAATTAAATCATTAATTTCTATATACAATATTATTAGCTATATATTATAGCTTTCACAGTTCTCAAAACTATGAATATATTAATACAAACATTACTACACAAACTAAAGTCCCTAGAAAATAAGTTCTACCGGATGTGGAAGCATATTGCATGTTCAATATGTATCTCACATTACAATTTACCCAGACGGATTGCATGATCGTATGCAATATATGCGCAGAGAAATTGATTAATCTCATGTCTACTAGCTTAATTAAAAGAACTACGCTATTTTTTCTGAGAAATCGATGCTTTAATGTTTTGGTGCTTGAGATGTAATCCATCCAAGTAAAATGAACAGAAAAATTTTAGTGTCTTTCAATATACAGCTCTATAATAATTTATATGATAATAATAATCGTAACTTTTCAATATTTCTACTAGAGAGAAAAAGCAGAATCATCTATCTCTTTCTCTGATAATTTTTTTTACACGAGCACACCTATATGAAAGCATACTTTTCGTTATCAGAGTCCTCTAAGAATATATCAAAAGAAATAAGTATTAAGCAGAAGGAAGATAGGAGGTTTGGATTTTTGTGAAATGTCTTTTTATTAAAATTCTAAAATAATTTCTTTGGATTACATTAAGGATCGAAGTAATAGGGTATGTCATTTTGTTGCTCTAATAACGTGGCCAAAGCTCGCTCTATATTTTCTGGCAGGTGATCTAGGAGCATGCGCGGCATCACTGACAGTTTCGTGAACTCTTCCGCTTGCGCCCATCGCATCTCGTATTTCCTTTCCTTTGCGAGTTCTTTCTTACTACATGGAAATAATGCAAAAATGACATTATTATTTTATTTATATTGTTAATTGTACATATCGCTGAATTATTTCAATAAGAAAATATGCGATGACAACTCACCTCTTTCTTTCCGTTCTCTCGAGTTTACACCTCGTTATATGAAGTATACGGCCAGCATTAAATAGTTTCTCTTTCGAATATCTCCTCTTCGTTATGTCACGCTCTACTATTTTATTTTCCTGCGAAAAGGTGGTATAATATATAACTTATTAAATCAGTATGCGCGCGCGAATTGTTTAGTATACTTATCAGGTGTGTCACAAATGTTTATTTAGAGTTTCTTTTTTATTTATCTCATTTTTTATATTTCTTCAAATGCGACAATTCGATCTTACCTCGCGTCTCGCAATTTCGACCTCAGTTAGTAAAGGTGATTGGCTCGGAATTGTGCTGATTATATTGCAATTGGCCCATGTTTTCGTTAAGTCTCTCTCGGGAACTCCGAATAAAGCGTATCCAAATCCGTTCAGAACTACTCTGTACTAAAGACATGAAAGAATTTGTAGAAACAAGTCGGTCTTATCACTTCTAAAAATTTTAAAGATATTTCTGAAAGTATTTTGGAAATATCGATTGTTTCGAAAATAATTGCTCAGAGATATAAAAGCCGATATTTTTTCCATTAACTTATATATATTTATTTTCAATCTGATATCCATATAAATTTAATATTAAATTTATTGTTAATTAATATTTCACTTTCCGAACCTACAATTGAGCATTTAAAAGAATACGTGTCCCTTCTTTTGTGACTTCGACTACAACATATTTTAAACGCATCATAATTATAGGGGGGCATAATTTGTGATTTTCCTTGTTAGATTCATTGATTTGATTGCGAATCTCTATCTCTAATCTCGTAATACCTTAGGTAGCCGGCATGCTCGTAATGTCGTCAGTAACGAGATTCTTAAATTCTCTATACTGTGCACACTGAGCCTCATTACCAAGTCATCACCAAGTCCCACGGTCAACACAAATTCTTCCGTGACCCTGGCAGCATCTCTGCTGAGCAGTCCAGCTTTTTGTGAACAATTACAATTCGTTAAAAATTGCAAGAAACATCCTATCATAGCGGTAGAACCGGCCGAAATAATAAACGACAGCACTTAACGCATTCTTTGAGCGGGTGAAAATATTATGTATTACCGGAATAAATTTAGCGTTACGCGGCAATTACCTGGCGTAGAAAACGCGTAGACTCTCAGGTCCGGATAACGGGGCCGTATCAGTAATCCTAGCAGAATGGCTAAACCGGCTCCTAAACTGTGACCTACAAAGGCACCATGTTACTTCATTATAGAATTTACAGCTATTTGCCAACGGCGTTTTAGCGCAACCGTACAAGCAAGTATATTTACCCGTAAGCGTCAGATGGTAATTAGGATACGTGGCGAACGCTCTCTCCAAGACTTTATGATGTTTCAGTTGCTTTAATATTATTTTCACTCCCATCACCATACCCTTGTGCGCCTGAAAATTATATTCTGGTTCCCGAAACTCGAAATCGACCTTTATTTGATACACGTGCGGCGAACAAGACGAAGAAGCAATTGCGTACTAACCGTACTACCTGGAGGAACACCTGGACACTCGAACGAATCGGACGCGGCTGCGAAGTCAGTAATTAAGTCCCGTAAAGATAATGACCCTCGTATAACCACGACGATATTGGCGGTCTTGTGATCCGCGATCACGCAAAACGGTATCTACGGGGTTCCCGAGAATGTAATACTTAACGTAAAGCCACGACCGTGGAGAGATCACGATTTAGGAGCAACATACCAACCTCGCACAAATGATTCTTGAAGGAGGCAAATAGAATGTCCTCCTCCGACAATTTCGACAAATATTTCACGCCAGAGAAATTACAGAGGCAGCAGTTGTCGTCGAGAATAACGTTACGCTTTCGTCTAAAAGAGCACACAAATTGCTGCGAAATGTTCTCCACAGAAAAAGATCATTAAAACAAAGGAAAAACAAGCGGACGATAGGATACAATTGTGAACAAAAACAATTATAAAAATTAATTAATACAAAATTAACCCTTTGCACTCCAAGTTTTTTTTCATTCATATTACCAGCAACTCGAGGTAATTTCAGTGGAAAGATCATATTCACATATAAGTAAATGATATGCGCATTAAAAGAAAAGTCATTGTTGTATGTTATTGTTTTTTTAATTTTGTTAATTTGTTAATAGTTGTTAATAGTTTGTTTTAAGTTTGAAGACAAATTTTAAATAGCTCCGCTCCGGAGTCCTCGAGTGCAAAGGGTTAATAATAAAAATAATAAAAATAAAAATAATTAATTATGAATAATATATTAAAAAAAAACAACTTTAATAGTATCAAACGTATAGAGCGATATACGTAATAGTTTTCTTTTATTTACCGAAAACAAGCGCAGCATGTCATGCCCCGCACCAAACGGAAACATCCGGTACACATATGTTGGTATAGTACGAAGAGCCAGCCGTAGACGGCGATTGACAATTGTGAGAAATGATGGGCGGCCTCCAAGGACATCCAGTTGGGCGTATTGGAGAAGATCGCGGTGCCGTCTGTAAAATCCGGATAGCAAATATTTGACAATTAGCGGCCGGCATATACTCGATACACTCACGCGACTTTGCCTTCTCTCCGGCGATTAACATACGAATGGCATACCTGAAGTATACTTTGGGCGTGGGATTAAATTTAACCTTCGCAATTCATGAGTTTCCCGTTTCTGCCGAACTCTCAGCAGAATGCAACCCGCCATCACGTCCGAGGGCACCAAATCCGTGCCTCGGAATAATGCGGTTAACAGACCTGCGAGTTTAAAGAACGGTCAAAGAAGCGTTATATTGTCAACCCTCCTGTACCAGAGTCAACTGGATCGAACTTTAGTTTTTGAATATTTTTTTCCTTTATGTGGTTCAAACTATTATTTGTAAGGCTTGACATTTTTTTATGATTTTTGCTCTTTCTTGGAGGTTTTCTAAGGAACAAAGGAAACATTTACTCATTTCTTTTTCTAACAGGATAAATTAATCCTATAGTTTAATTATGACCATACACAATGATACATCGAGGGTTGAGAGGAGTGAAGGGGTTATTCCACGATGATATATTCAACAACAGTTACAACGACATGAAAATACTCAAGAGGACACTTGAGCCCATCACTTTCGAGTGGCGCTTTCGGGATTTGCTCAACATTCGCTGTAATTTGCATATCGCGGATCGCGCGATCGCTATTTCCTCGCGCGGCGGGAAAGCGATACGTGTCGAGAAGAAAGTCCCACCAGCGGCCAAAACCAGAACGAGGATCAGCGAAGGTACGATTTAGCGTCCAGGCGGCTTCTCACGCTCGGCTTTCGATCGGAACACGATTGGCTCCACGTTCCAATTTCGATTGCGGCAAGACCTCTTCGTAGTTTAGCCGTACCTATGTCTCACCAGCGACATGTTGAAAGGTCTCACTCGCGCTCTCGTCCTTACGCATCCACCACAGGAACCTGAATCGCCGTAGCCAGATGCGCGAGTGCTTGCCGTGCTCCACGGTGTTCTCCAGCTGTTTCTTCTCCAGTGAGCCGATCGGGTCGAACACCAGGGCGAGGCCGAAGATGCTGAGACCAATCAGGATCCAGTCGAAGAGTACCAACGTCTCTACGACGGTGATAGAATAGTGCTCGTGCTCGCATTCCACGCTTTGTCCGAAAATCCATAGGCTGCCCAGAACGTTCCAGCCGATCTCCGGTAGCAACATCGATACTCTGATCGCATCAATGAAGACTTTCAATGATCATCGAGAGTCATAGCAGCGCATCGAATGTTGAATATATAATAATTAAACAGTCAAATGTGTATGATACGTTAAATCGTGACAGTATTCGTATGATTTGAAACGGATTGAATAATCGTGCGGTCAATATTTATGTAATATTTATGTAAAATCATCATAGTGATCTATTTTTTACAGCTGCACTGCTGAACTGCAATAAGTTAGAACAAGACAAAATATACTTGTCTCGCTCTAATTTATTGCGTCAGTTCAGCAGTGTAGCTATATAGAACAGGATATTTATGTAAATATTTACTTCATGATTATTCAATCCGTATTATGGAATCATATGAATATTTTCAAAAGTCAATAATATTGACATATATTATCAAGAACATAGTCCTGAATAATTTTCAAAAAATTTGAGCTATTGCTCGTTATTTATTTACCTTATGTAAATATTTACCCTTTGCACATTTCTTCTGTTTAAAAGTGAAATTTTTAATATAATATAATTATTTTAATTATTTAATAATTAATTTATAATTATTAAATGTAATATTATTATTCTTACGATTTGCAACGGATTAGATAGTTGCAAATGGATATTATAGAGGAATTTAATGATTTTTATCAACATAATTTGTCGTGTCTTTGTTATTTAAACAATATTAATCTCAGACATTTTAATACCGAAATCATATGGTAATTGTAAGATCACAATAACAATCCAGCAAACATCAATTAAAAATAACAACATGAATGTTATAATTTCCCACTCAATAATGTAAATACAATATAACGCATATATTATGTTACGTTGTTAAATGGGAAATTACAACATTGATTTTATGTTATCGTTAGTTGATGTTTGCTGGGAAGTAGCAATTTCATGTATATAGGGATTATTGTTATTGAAATATGTGTTAGAAATAATCCAATTTTATGTATATAAACACATATAGCATAGAGAAAATGCATTTCTAAATATTAAATATAAGTTAAACAAATCGTATTATAACGTATTTTAGTCACTGTTGTGTACGTTTGTGGTCGAGCGCGAGCTTAAGGTTATACGCGCTGAAGGTCATTGTGCGAGTTTTCGGCGTATCGTAGATAAGCTTGTAACCAACAGTCTTAGATGCGAAGTCATATACGTCGGGTCGCGTCGCGGATTCGTTATTTTTAATTTCGTGAAATAAATCCGAACTATCATTGTTACAACTTACGATATTCGCGATACAATTATCATGTCGAAGACATCGTAATGTTTAAAAAGTGACTATGTATCAAATTCTTTCTTCATAAAATCCTAAAGGAAATTAGACAATAACAAACTCTCTTTATTCGTCATCATCGAGCAATCTCTTGTTATTGTGTCAGAAATTATTTTTGATTTTAGAAGTGGAATTTGCGGCCGAAAGAACAGATGGAATTAATGCCATACCGGAGGATCCGGTTCGGACCGCGCATGGCTGACTTGAAGGTAGGTTCATAGATTTTTTATAGTCCTTTTTATCTTTTGCGATTGAAAGACGGAATATAGCTATCGGGATGATTCACGCTACAATAGTGAATCCGTTTTTATGTTTATACGCAATTCCTTCACATAAATCAATTTATATTCGTTTTAAGTCAGATGTTTAGATTTAAATAATTAAAAGATTTAAATAATTAAAAATTGTTTTTATCGTTATAGATATACGCGGAGCAGAGCGTAGCCGGCTATGATTCTGAAGCAATTCGGTGAGTGATGAATGAGAATAAATATTTAAGGTGATGGAATTATAATTTCGGAATCTCGTCGAAATCAGTGCGACCATTCCACTTATAGCTTTTTGCACGTAGTAATTATAAACATTCTTCATATTTTATGGGTAGAACAACCTTCTATTCAAATCTAATGTGATGAAAATAGAAAGGATGATATCTTTGCACAAAAGCATTTTGCAGAAGCTATTGGTCTAGAAAGCTGATTGACGTGACGCTCGTTTACTTATATTGCTCACTTGATTGTCAGTAGTGGCTCGACGTAGCGTCGGGCATGCGTGTCCATGATGGCCCCCTTTGCGCTATGCCTGATGATGACGAGTATCAAAAGCGTGACGATACTGAGCATGACTACTTCGCCTATGAGATATGCACGCACTAAGTCACCTCCAAACCGACAATTCCACGTATTCTCGTAGTACCTCGCGCAGGCGATTCCTATGAGCATCAGCCTATAAAAAATATGCATTCGATTACGAGAGACACGCTAACAACGATCCGTCGCGGTCGCACTTCAACAATCAGTCGTATTGATCTGTGCGAGAAAGAATTTGGTTATTCAGATTTATTTTCAAAAATATTATGTTTCTCATATTTTCATTTCGAACGGAATAATTTGAACATTTAATTTTGGGAGTAATTTTAATTTATTAGATTATGCATCGAATCGTATGCTACTATTGTCGTGGCTAATATCGCGACGATTCTGAGGCTAATCGATAATTGCGGATTGCTCATCGTTAGCGACTCACCATACAACGCGGATAAATAATTCGAACATGCCGGGATATACGAGATCGTCGGTTGCTGCCAACCATTTTCGTCCGAAGAGCTTCAACGCAGGCATTTCCCTGTGGAAAGAAATTTTACCGTGAGAAGTCTGGTCGTTTCATTTAGAAACGAAGTGATAGTATCCGATTGTATAATTAAACATCCTCGTTGGATCCATGAATATGTCGGCAGATTTTTTCAGTTCTCGTTAGAAATATCCATCCTGAAGAACGAATTTATAGTATTTGAAATAAGAAGATATCTCGTAATATTCCTAGAACTGGAAGAATTCTTAAAAGATCCATCTGGTAATTAATGCGTGACACGTAGTAATTTACTCGTAAATGATTTATCCGAGAATCGCGAAGAATTTGCGACGCGCCAAGAAGCAGATCGCGGTCAGTCACGTTCGCGATGGTCTCGCGAGAGACGCGGCTTGTATTTCGCGGAAAAGTTTACCTAACGAGCCGCTCTTACGCGTTTCGTAATATTACAGAACATGCGAATGCGACTTTCTATGATCATAAATATCTGCGAGATTCGGACGACGACACATGCGAGTAATCTCCTCGATCGCGTAGCGCGACTTCGGAGAAAGCGCCGGGAGAAAGTACCCGTTGTGTCCATCCCACATCCGAATACGTTGATATAGCCTTCTGAGCGACATTCTTAAATGGACCGTGAACCCGATGATTTTGGTCGCAAAGACAGTTAATAATGCAGCCGATGATGAGCGCCATCAATTATATCTTTCCTCGAACGTGATCCGACAATGTAAACAACGTGCGCCTGGTAACGCGATTTTCAATCGTGCAGGAATTATAATAGATATCGCGGCGAAACTTGTTCAGCACGAGCGGCAACGTCAGTTTTCTTTTGCTGTAAACGCTCTATTCACCCTTCAAGCCGGATGCTTTTCAAACGCCGTGCCTTTTTCCACACGACGTTTCATTGTGCGCCAGACAATAGCGAAGCGAGTCTCGCGTGCAAGTTAGCGGAATGTATCTCACTCGATCGTGCTATCTTAACTGCTACCGATTGTTTCGCCAATTTTTCCAGCTGACATAAAGAAGAGACGCTTTATTGCAAGCACCATGTATGCATATATATATATATATATATGTGTGTGTCGTGTGTGTGTGTGTGTGTGTGTATAAAATTCGAGTTTTGTGACCTCAAGCGCTTCGTCTTATCGAAATTCGTGTTCTGAGAAATTTATTATATTTATATATATATATATATA